AGATTTGCCTATGGCATGCAAGCATATCATTTTAACAGGGGACACTGGATCCCATGTGTGTTGTTATTGTAGCAGTAGCCTAGCACGTTTTCTTCTGCATACAAGAGAAAGCTATAGCAATACCTTTTCGAATTCTGTGATGTAGTTTGAAACTTTTTCCATGCTGACCAGGGAGTTGCCCATACTGTACAGGCTGACTCACAAGCCAAAACATTGGCCACGTGGAGGAAAGTGAGTAATGATTTGTGATTTGGACTACTACTGTCACACGTCATTATACTGTTGGCCATTTGCCAACATAGCACCAGTGTGTCGCCAGTGATTATGCTATTGTAAGCTTAGGCGGCAGGTATCCTAGCGGTTAGATGAAAATGGGGGAAAATCTATCGATGTGTCCTTGAGCAAGGCACTTAACCCTAATTGATGATAATGGCAGACCCTGGCTGTGACCCCACTCTCTGAGGTTGTCTCGGAGAGTTGGGATATGCAAAAAATACATTAACAATTCACACATGCTTATTGATACACACTTGTACAATGAATGACATTTTATTTTCGTATCAAATCGCCAATTGGCAACCCATCTCATATGGGATTAATTGACACATAAACAAACATTACAATAATTCACTGTGGTAATTCAATGATAATTCTTCTTCAGGTGTTCTCTGCATTGCACATCGCATAAAGAGTGAAAAAAATCAATACATAATAGTAAATAAGGTTATCCAAACAATAATTATATCCCTAGAGCAGTAAAATAATATACATACATACATACATACACTACCAGTCAAAAGTTTGGACACACCTGCTCATTCAAGGGTTTTTCTTTATTTTTACTATTTTTTACATTGTAGAATAATAGTGAAGACATCAAAACTATGAAATAACACATATGGAATCATGTAGTAACCAAAAAAGTGTTAAACAAATCAACATATATTTACAGAAGATAGCCCTATTTGGTACTTGGTTTCTCAAATGACTGCCTCGCCTGGTTCACCAACTACTTCTCAGATAGAGTTCAGTGTGTCAAATCGGAGGGCCTGTTGTCTGGACCTATGGCAGTCTCTATGGGGGTGCCACAGGGTTCAATTCTTGGGCCGACACTTTTCTCCGTGTATATCAATGATGTCGCTCTTGCTGCTGGTGACTCTCAGATCCACCTCTACGCAGACGACACCATTTTGTATACATCTGGCCCTTCATTGGACACTGTGTTAACAAACCTCCAAACGAGCTTCAATGCCATACAACAATCTTTCAGTAGCCTTCAACTGCTCTTAAACACTAGTAAAACTAAATGCATGCTTTTCAATCGAACGCTGCTAGCACCCGCCCACCCGACTAGAATCACCACTCTCGACGGGTCTGACCTAGAGTATGTGGACAACTACAAATATCTAGGTGTCTGGTTAGACTGTAAACTCAACTTCCAGACTCACATAAAGAATCTCCAATCCAAAGTTAAATCTAGAATCGGCTTCCTATTTCGCAACAAAGCCTCCTTCACTCATGCTGCCAAACATGCCCTCGTAAAACTGACTATCCTACCGATCCTTGACTTCGGCGATGTCATTTACAAAATAGCCTCCAACACTCTACTCAGCAAATTGGATGTAGTCTATCACAGTGCCATCCGTTTTGTCTCCAAAGCCCCATACACTACCCACCACTGTGACCTGTACGCTCTTGTTGGCTGGTCCTCACTACATGTCCGTCGTCAAACCCACTGGCTCCAGGCCATCTATAAATCACTGCTAGGCAAATCCCCGCCTTATCTTAGCTCATTGGTCACCATAGCAGCACCCACCCGTAGTCTGCGCTCCAGCAGGTATATCTTACTGGTCATTCCCAAAGCCAACACCTCCTTTGGCCGCCATTCCTTCCAGTTCTCTGCTGCCAATGACTGGAACGAATTGCAAAAATCTCTGAAGCTGGAGACTCTTATCTCCCTCAATAACTTTAAGCATCAGTTGTCAGAGCACCTTACCGATCACTGCACCTGTACACAGCCCATCTGAAATTAGCCCACCCAACTACCTCATCCCTATATTGTTATTTATTTTGCTCTTTTGCACCCCAGTATCTCTATTTGCACATAATCTCTTGCACATCTAGCATTCCAGTGTTAATACTATTGTAATTATTCTGCACTATAGCCTATTTATTGCCTTACCTCCATAACTTGCTACATTTGCACACACTGTATATATATTTTCTGTTGTATTTCTGACTTTATGTTTTTTTTTACCCCATATGTAACTCTGTGTTGTTTTTATTGCACTACTTTGCTTTATCTTGGCCAGGTCGCAGTTGTAAATGAGAACCTGTTCTCAACTGGCTTACCTGGTTAAATAAAGGTTAAATAAAAAAAAAGTACATATTATGGCAAGAACAGCTCAAATAAGCAAAGAGAAATGACAGTCCATCATTACTTTAAGACATGAAGGTCAGTCAATACGGAACATTTCAAGAACTTTGAACGTTTCTTCAAGTGCAGTCGCAAAAACCATCAAGCGCTATGATGAAACAGGCTCTCATGAGGACCACCACAGGAATGGAAGACCCAGAGTTACCTCTGCTGCAGAGGAAAAGTTCATTAGAGTTACCAGCCTCAGAAATTGCAGCCCAAATAAATGCTTCACACAGTTCAAGTAACAGACACATCTCAACATCAACTGTTCAGAGGGGACTGTGTGAATCAGGCCTTCATGGTCGAATTGCTGCAAACAAACAACTACTAAAGGACTCCAATAAGAAGAAGAGACCTACTTGGGCCAAGAAACACAAACAATGGACATTAGACCGGTGGAAATGTGTCCTTTGGTCTGGAGTCCAAATTTGAGATTTTTGGTTCAAACTGCCGTGTCTTTGTGAGATGCGGTGTGGGTGAACGGATGATCTCAGCATGTGTAGTTAGCACCGTAAAGCATGGAGGAGGAGGTGTTATGGTGTGGGGGTGCTTTGCTGGTGACACTCTGTGATTTATTTAGAATTCAAGGCACACTTAACCAGCATGGCTACCACAGCGTTCTTCAGCAATACGCCATCCCATCTGGTCTGGGCTTAGTGGGACTATCATTTGTTTTTCAACAGGACAATGACCCAACACACCTCCAGGCTGTGTAAGGGCTATTTTACCAAGAAGGAGAGTGATGGAGTGCTGCATCAGATGACCTGGCTTCCACAATCCCCCGACCTCAACCCAATTGAGATGGTTTGTGATGAGTCGGACCGCAGAGTGAAGGAAAAGCAGCCAACAAGTGCTCAGCATATGTGGGAACTCCTTCAAGACTGTTGGAAAAGCATTCCAGGTGAAGCTGGGTGAGAGAATGCCAAGAGTGTGCAAAGCTGTCATCAAGGCAAAGGGTGGCTACTTAGAAGAATCTCAAATATAACATATATTTTTATTTGTTTAACACTTTTTTGTTTACAACATGATTCCATATGTGTTATTTCATAGTTTTGATGTCTTCACTATTATTCTACAATGTCAAAATATAGAAAAACCCTTGAATGAGTAGGTGTGTCCAAACTTTTGACTGGTACATACATGCATACATACAGAGAAATAAATGCAGAAAAATGAAACAGAAGGCACTTGAACCCAGTATGGCACAAAGAGAAGATTCATATGGGAGACAAGCCTATACACAATCTATATACACACATACCATTTACCACATAGAAGCTAAATATTTTTACAATTTAATTATAGGTAGCCCTTTTCTTTTATTCCAGGCTTTATCTAAATATTCCGCAATCGGAAATATGCAATGGACAAAAAACAATTTCAGTTTCTCATCATCGCTCAGCCACATAATGCCAGGGTTTATCTGGTGTGAATGTGTGAATTAGGACAAATATAAGCACCCACCTAATAATTACAATAATTATAATAATAATTATCATTATTGTTATTATTATTTTTATTATTACAAGCTCTAGTGTTCTTTTTTGGAAACAATGTTTCCATCAGTAGTTTGACACTGAGGACTTGTAAAGAGCAGAATCTACAACCTCTTCATCGTCAAGACAGTTGCTTTGTGAGAAGGTGTTAGCCATGGAAGATGGTTCATCCATTGTTATGTAAATGCCAGCTGAAAAGTACCAGTGGCCTGGCCTTGGCCCCAAGCCAGACCAGGTCCACTGAGGTTATGGCCCAGAGAAACACTGGAGCCAGGCCGTGGAGGTGGAAACACAGAAGTCTGAGGCTTTGTTAGTGGGTTCGATCCCCGGGACCACCCATACACAAAAATGTATGCACACATGACTGTAAGTCGCTTTGGATAAAAGCGTCTGCTAAATGGCATATTATTATTATTATTATTATTAAGTCTCTGGTGTGTGTGTTAGGTGAGTGGTGCGTATTACACAGTAACTATACACTAAGGAAATGTAAAGCTCATGGTTGGCTTTCCGAACTGTTCAGTCATTATACCTTCATTAGGACTAAGCTGAGCTGTCCTCCTGAGTGGCGCAGTGGTCTAAGGCACTGCATCGCAGTGCTAACTGTGCCACTAGAGATCCTGGTTCGAATCCAGGCTCTGTCGCAGCCGGCCGCGACCGGGAGACTCATGGGCGGCGCACAATTGGCCCAGCGTCGTCCAGGGTAGGGGAGGGAATGGCCGGCAGGGATGTAGCTCAGTTGATAGAGCATGGCGTTTGCAACGCCAGGGTTGTGGGTTCAATTCCCACGGGGGGCCAGTATAAAAAAATATGTATTCACTAACTGTAAGTCGCTCTGGATAAGAGCGTCTGCTAAATGACTAAAATGTAAGCTGAGTAGTTACATATTATGACTTGAGGGCAACGTCTTTCTCAGTCCTTTATTGATCCCTTCTCTCTTGTCTGCTCCCTCCTGTGAAAAGCGTTGTCTGTGTGTGTGTGTGTGTTCAATGGGAAGCCAGACTGTGACAGATGTCCATTTAATGCTAAATTAGACAATAGAACTGAATATCACTTGGTTCACTTCTTTCCGTCTTCCCCCCCAGCTATGGCTGAAGATGTCTCTGGACTCTGATAAGGTGTGTGGGCTGCTGTCCCGGGACTCCAGGACCTCCTGTGTCTTCCAGGCTGCAGACGAGAAGGATGATATACCAGGGGTGGGGGAGGACAGGTATGCTCCAAAACCCTGTACCTCCTCTCTCTCTCTCTCTCTCTCTCTACTGGAAGATAGTCCAGAAACAGAGGGGTTTATCAGCCAGTAAATATGGTAGATAATATCCAGCTGACATGACTGAAATCTAAAAAATCCCCCTTAAACTCTCTCTCTCTCTCTCTCTCTCTCTCTCTCTCTCTCTCTCTCTCTCTCTCTCTCTCTCTCTCTCTCTCTCTCTCTCTTTTTATTTTCCCCTTCTCCTTCTAACTGTCTTTTCTCTCTCAGATCACTCCATTTAGTCCTACCTTTGCTTTCACACCAAATTCTCGTAATATCTTTTCAGTTTGGGTGAAATGTATTTGTGCCTTTCTCCTATCTCCCTGTTCAGTGTTCTGGAGATGCTGAGCTATTCTAAGTTCTCTGACCTGGAGACATGGCTGTGCATGCCCTCCACGCTGCTCCCCAGGGCCCTAGAGTCCACCCGCTCTACCTCCTCCTCAGGCTCCACCTCTACAGCACACCGCTCCACATGCAGCGAGACTGGCGAGACAGACACACCACACAGGTACATCAGACCTAGGTACAAATGTCAAATACTTTGAACGTTTGCTTTGGCCTGCCTGGCGTGTCAGCTGATGAGGTTTGCACTTTTGGGACTTTTCTATTGGTTCCATGGCAACAGGAAAGCTCAATCAAGCACAGCTAAAGTTTTTGCAATTATTTAAAATAGTATTTCAATCCAGGTCTGCAGGACATGTTTTGGTGTCGAGTGGTAGCATTTGAGAAGATTATTAAAGAGACAGAAGCTTCAACGATGTCCCGCTTAAAGCACTTCACTTTAAGAGCTGAGTTTTCTCTGGTGTTATCAAGTGTCTGTGGAGGTTTCAAAGCCCATACATCCACAGGCCTGGTGTGGTCTTGTGTGGTTTAGTCTTTCAGTCATTACAAAGGCCCAATCCACCAGCCTTTCTCCATCAGTTACTACTGAGACACTTGAAGCACTTGACTCCCCAGATTCAGCTGCTGTGTGGCTGTTAACGCGCACACACACACACACACACACACACACACACACACACACACACACACACACACACACACACACACACACACACACACACACACACACACACACACACACACACACACACACACACACACAGGTAACTTGATACAACTATTGGTCCTTGAACACCACTGCCTTTGACTGGGTCCCTCAGTGCCATGATGTGTGATTATGTTGCCAGTGTAGTTTTGAATGAGTGGTCACCAAGCCTTACCCAGCTCCCCCCTCCCCCTGGTCACCCCAACATAAACTCTCACAGTATGTGTATCTTCCTGTTAGTGGCAGACATTGATGTCCATGGAAGTCGAATGCAATCGTCCAAAGTTGACGCGATAACAAATTATAGAGCAGTGGACATGTTTTGAGAATTGGTCGATGTTGAGTTACTGCGGTAAAGAGCTATGCTGAGTTGGGAGAAGGTGTTGGAGTTTTTCGTGCGGAGGAGAAGGAGAGGAGCCCATAGAAGATCATGGAGAAGCCGCAGTTACAACGTCACTGAAGTCAGGTACTATAGGGGGATATAGTCAAAACTAGGTTATAGATATGTAATAACCGCTGTTTATAATCAGAGGGCCAGAAGGCTATGCAGGATTGTGCATCGTCATGTGCAAGCTATAAGTATTGGCAGTACAGACATAGAGTTCCGAATTCCACTGTAAAGAGCAAAGCTATACGATCTCCGCTGTGAATAATTAGAACGCTTCGGGCTAGGACTAATGCGTAATGCTGAAAGATGTTATGTAAGCTTCCTAATGATTTGGGAAAGGCTATTCAAGTTACCTGGATAATGGGTATTTGAGGTCTTGTGCAATGTTTGTATTGTATTTCTGGAACTTTAAAAAGTGCCTTTGCATCGTCATAGATGTCTGAATAGTTATAACAGAACAGAACGCGTTGACAGGCAGTGTGACTTATTATTTAACTTTGTACGTTTCATAGACTACTGTACATGTATCTCGTTGTGGGTTTTCCATTCAGGAGATGTATCATGAATATTTTAGCTCCTGCTAATAGAGTTGTGTGTGTGTGTGTGTGAGAGAGAAAGTGCATGTGTGTGTCAAACTGCCATGATCCAAATTAGGCACTATTAGTGTCACTCAAGAGCTCTGAAAAGAAAACCAGAAAATTAAATGTATCACATCTTCCCCTAACTAATGTTATAGTCGTTCTTCATTGTGAAAGAAGTGTGAAATATTAGGTGTGCGTCCCCAATGGCAACCTATTCCCTATAGTGCACTACTTTTAATAGAGCTCTATGGGCCCTGGTAAAACGTAGTGCACTATATAGGGAATAGAGTGAGATTTGGGACGCAACCAAGGGCATTGACACCTCAGAGGAGAAGTTATTGAAAGGGATGATTAAAATGTAGTCATGCTTGGTTTAATGTGAGTTCTCCCTTATTTACATTTTAGTCATTTAGTAGACGCTCTTATCCAGAGCGACTTACAGGAGCAATTAGGGTTAAGTGCCTTGCTCAAGGGCACATCGACAGATATTTCACCTAGTTGGCTCGGGGATTAGAACCTGCGACCTTTCGGTTAATGGCACAACGCTCTTAACCACTAAGCTACCTGCCGCCCCTAATTGCATGTTAACTGCTCGTAGAATTCAAAAGCAGTGTTTTCTAATTCACCGACTACATCTCAAATGGCACCCTAAATCCCTACATAGAGCACTACTTTTGATAGAGCCCAATGGGGCCTGGTCAAAAGTAGTGCACTATATAGGGAATAGGGGGCCATTTGGAATGCACACACTGTTCATTCAGACCAATATACTGAAATACCTTTATGGTTAATAGTGTCGACATTCCTACTGGTTTTGTCCAAACTGCTCATTGTTCAGCCAGACCAGACAAGCTAGACCACCACTAGCATGAATTTGGAACCTTTCCACTCCAAAAACAAAATTTATTAAAATATATCTAAAATACGGTTTTAAATCCAGAAATAGACCTGTTTTTAATTGGTCAGTCCAGAAATAGACCAGTTGTACTTGGTCAATCCAGAGGTCTACAGGTGTTAACTTCCTGTCTTGTGTCTTCTACTTCCTGTGTCTGTCGTAGACCTCTAGAGAGGGAGGCCATGTTCCTGACCCCTGCACTGGGGCGGGAAATCCCGTTCCTGGCCACACCCTTCGCCCCCATCCTGTCCTCTACGCCGTGCAACATGACCCCACAGGGCGGGGTCAGCGTCAGGAAGCGCAGGAGATTGGCGGCCAGCCCCGGGGGACTACACTGGACCTCTACAGGTACACACTGACCTAACTATCTGTTTGTCAGTCTGTCTGGCTGTCTATCTCTCTTTCTCGGTCTCTCTCTCTGTCTCCCGCTCTGTTTTCAGTATAACTATTATCTCTGTTTGCTTTCTCTGTCAGCCTCCTATCTTTCTTTCTCTGTCACCCTCGTTCTCTCCATCTTTCTTACTCTGTCAGCCTCCTTCTCTCCATCTTTCTTTCTCTGTCAGCCTCCTATCTTTCTTTCTCTGTCAGCCTCCTTCTCTCCATCTTTCTTTCTCTGTCAGCCTCCTATCTTTCTTTCTCTGTCAGCCTCCTTATCTCCATCTTTCTTTCTCTGTCAGCCTCCTATCTTTCTTTCTCTGTCAGCCTCCTTATCTCCATCTTTCTTTCTCTGTCAGCCTCCTATCTTTCTTTCTCTGTCAGCCTCCTTATCTCCATCTTTCTTTCTCTGTCAGCCTCCCATCTTTCTTACTCTGTCAGCCTCCTTCTCTCCATCTTTCTTTCTCTGTCAGCCTCCTATCTTTCTTACTCTGTCAGCCTCCTTCTCTCCATCTTTCTTTCTCTGTCAGCCTCCTATCTTTCTTACTCTGTCAGCCTCCTTATCTCCATCTTTCTTACTCTGTCACCCTCCTTCTCTCCATCTTTCTTTCTCTGTCAGCCTCCTATCTTTCTTACTCTGTCAGCCTCCTTCTCTCCATCTTTCTTACTCTGTCACCCTCCTTCTCTCCATCTTTCTTTCTCTGTCAGCCTCCTATCTTTCTTACTCTGTCAGCCTCCTTCTCTCGATCTTTCTTTTTCTGTCAGCCTCCTATCTTTCTTACTCTGTCAGCCTCCTTCTCTCCATCTTTCTTTCTCTGTCAGCCTCCTATCTTTCTTTCTCTGTCAGCCTCCTTCTCTCCATCTTTCTTACTCTGTCACCCTCCTTCTCTCCATCTTTCTTACTCTGTCAGCCTCCTTCTCTCCATCTTTCTTTCTCTGTCAGCCTCCTATCTTTCTTACTCTGTCAGCCTCCTTCTCTCCATCTTTCTTTCTCTGTCAGTCGCTTCCTCTCTCTCTTTGTCATGTTGGGTGGGGTGAGTCAAGGACCTCATTAACCTCTTGTCTTATTTTACAACCCCTTCACTTCTCAGTAGTGAACGTTCTCTTCCCTCAGATCTGCGTTGATTGCTCACTGATGGTCATGTTTATGCTGTGGAGTGGCGTGCTTCCTGTATTAGTGTGTGTGCATGCTTGTGTGTGTGTGTGTCTCAGCTCCACCCTTATGGGGAATGATAAAGACCTCTTCCTGTTAGGAGATGTGTTTAATCTCTCTATCTCCTCTCCCGCTCTACTGTTAGGTGTTAGAAGTCTAACCATAAGTATTCGAACTAGGAGTTTTCACTTTACACCACTAGAGGGAGCTCTAGTCTAATACAAGCACTGTGCTGCCAGAGTAGGACCTAACTCAACAGTAACATACCAGTCCAATATCTCAACTCTGGGTAGAAAATGAGTTAATGTCAGTGTTGAGTCCGGTCTCGAGACCACATATTGAGTATCTCGGTCTTGTTTTGGTGTAGAATACATTTTGATGTAATTACAGTATCAGCTTCCATTCTGTCAGCGCATTAAACTGCTTCGCCAGGCCAACATTTCCACACTCCTTTCATGACACATTACTATCTTATCACCTATTGAATCCTGGGCTTCCTACTTTTCTCATAACATCAGTTACCTACTGTCCTTTACTTCCGTTGAAAAATATCCTCAAACTTTGTCGCGCTCATCAGAATTTCATTAATTCGCAGGTAAGGAAGAGTGGGGGAAATTGTTTGAAAGTTGCGCGCTCACTATTAGTAAGGGGAGACCGGGGAAAGTTGTATCATATTTAGTATTTTTATCTATGGATTGGCTGCGGTTCTGGATTTTCTGGAAACCCAATTTGCAGTGGTTAAAGATACAGAATTCTGTGCATGTGAAGGATTTTCTCTTTATGTAGCTGATGTAGCTGATGTAGCTGATGTAGCTGATGTAGCTGACGTAGCTGACGTAGCTGACGCTCAGTGCTCCGCTGCCACTTCCCCCTCCTTGATCAGCGATGAACGCCTTTGTTTAGTGTAGCCTACAAACTTCATGTTGTACACAAAGGACATGTTCAAACTATTGCAATCCATGCCTGTTCAGCATAAGCATGATTTCATGTTATTTTTTCAGGAGGGAAGTTAGGCTACATGCAGCTATTTACAGTATATTGTACACAAAAGACATGATCAACATGTTCGTACAAACTCGCAGATAGTTTTTTGCCCCAATGCAAA